CATGAATTTGTTTATTTGCATACTTATAAGTGGAGTTAGAAGAACTTGTTAATTTTGTTTGTGTATGAGTTGTTTTGTTAATATATAGAAATCCACTATATATTTCTTATCTTCAAGGATCTCGTACTGCCTACTGGACACCATATAACATGGTGCAAAAAGCATGATTGCTCAATCCACAAGTCTATCTCTTTTTGTACCTTTGGCACTAGAATACCAGTTCACTTTTTGTCCTATTGCCTTCTCTTTGCAAAAACCTTCCTTAACCTTAAGCTAATGCTTTCACATAATGCAATTATCAGCTTGTCTCAGTCATCTATGATCCAACTGTTGAAGACCTCTGCAAGATCTAATGTGAGTTGATCGTATCCCAGGACCGAAAAACCCGCATTCGCCCAACATCCATATGGATTCTTCATTATCCACTGATACACCGCAACATCAACTTCTCGACTTTTTGACATCTCCACCTCAAAATCTTATGGCCGCAATGCACGGGCGGAATTCCAAAACCATGCTAGCAACACATGATTTTTCCATCGCCTCTTAAAGTTCTCTCCCCTATGGAGCATGCATAATCCAAGAAAATAATTTGAAAAAACACGTTGGATTGCTTGTATCAAACCTTTCCGTCGATCTGCAATAATTGCCAGGCGAGGCAGATCTTGCCTTTCATTGAACCGTACCCGTAGACAATTAAGACACCAAATCCAACTAGCAGTGCCTTCTATCTCCACAATGGCTATTGACATGGGGAACATATCACCATTAACATCTGCATTAATAGTTGCCAACAATATGCCCAAATATGTTTTCTTCAGGAATGTGCCATCCAAGATGACAAGAGGCCTACAACCATACAAAAAGCCATACATGCATGGGCAAATATAAACAAATGCTAAAATCTGTGGAGAGGCTCTGTCAATATATACCCTTCAGATGGGGGGTTAGTGAGTCGTATCTTCTATAGGTATAGGGATAACTCTAATATATAATTATCGAAGTGACCCATACGGGCTTTAATTTTTTTGGCAACCCATGGCTATATGCTAATAGCTTATGAACCTCTTCCAAGTGGACCTATACATGTGTGCTTTTCCAAGTGGACCTATACATGCCTTTTAGAGAGAGTATGCCTCGAGTAGCGAACTTCCCATTTGTACCTCCTCCAGCACAGATTGCAATTATTCGCTCTTGGTTGTTTCTCTTACACTTTATGCTTAAATTTTGACATATGACATAATCAACCAAGTGTTCTCGGAGCCGTGACATTATCAAAATATTGTTCGACATGCAAATCAACTTGTGTGCATGCTGAAGAGCACGAAATGTCCAATACATATTGAACATCACGGTTGGGTCCAATATCTATATTATTATTCGAGTTTGGCTCGTATGCATGCTCTTCATTTCAGATGACAGGGATGTGCACCAGTTCAATGTGTTGCCTAGGAAGTCATGATCGATGTATTCTATAAGCATTAAATAAAAAGATAAAATATAAACATAACCATACAAATCAAAATTATTACCTGATCCTAGTTGATGAACCACATGATGGACTTGTGTCATCCACTCTTGGTTGATGATCCATATGTGATGGTTAAGAAGATTCGTTTGAAACACATACATGAATACTAAAAGCCACTAGTGGCATACATGTCACATCTCCATCCTCGTTTAATTCTAATAAATTGTTATTTTCTTGATACATAACTGTCAAATTACTTGGGTCACAGTGCACAATAGTCGTCATTTGTGCCTTCAATCACTCTAATGAGTGACCTCCTATATAGAATGCATCTTTTACATTCCCGTCCTTGTAGCAATTTTTTCTATCATTTACATTTCGCTCAAAAACCCACCATAATGACACACCATTTTAACTCCACCTGTGGCAATTTTTATCACTCAAACGAGGGGCTTGTAGAGTCAATGTGAGGTAGATCGAAGACACCCTAACACCAAACATAAGAGTGCAACTACAATAAATTTCTTTTATAATTATTACACAAAAGTTAGTATATCCTATGTCATGACATTGCATTTACGATTATTCTACCAATGAATTTTGTCCTTTGTTTCTTGTTCACTTATAATTTCGGTGACTTTCAGTAATTTTTAGAGGTGTCATTACAAATTGTAAAAGCCTTACAATATCGCCTTCAAAATGCCGATATTGCATATAACAATGGAATCCATCTTTGGTAATATTTATGAAAAATTAAAACTATATAGGTAAAAAAATAATAATTGAATTTCATAGATAAAATCATTTTTCATATGATTTTTAGATATTTTCTGTAATTTTTGAGGTGATATTATGTGTTATAGAAACCTAGAACAACACTTTTAAAATGCAATCCAACATACAACAATGCAACTCCATCTTGAAGAACCCTAAGTTAAAAACCTATTATTCAAGTTTCATGAATTTACAAATATTAGTGAATTTGATAAAAATACACCTAGTAGTTGGAATCTCCTAGGGAAAACACCAGTTGTCTCTTCTATGGCTGGAATCTTGTAGCAATAACACTTGAGAACTCGAGGGTTTGGAGAGGTAAGAGAGAGAGACGACGAGAGAAAAAAAGAAAAAAGAAATAGGTTTGGGTTTTAAAGTTTCGTAGGGCAGTCCGAGGTTTCCATCCTCATACCACACTTTATTTGTTATTATTTGAGGAAACTAGCGGTCTGAGCTCCCCATCCTTGGACAACACTTTATCTGTTATTCTAACCAGCAGTCTGAGGATGGTGACCTTGGACTGCTCAAATACCCTTAGGGGCCGTTTTGATACCTGGAAATATATTGTCGGTGAAATATATTACTGGCGTAACACATTGCTGCTTAATACATTACCTGCAAATGGATTGTTGCTGTTTGAACTTGGGAAATATATTGTTACTGTTTGGCTATGTCTCGAAGAAATATGAGAAATGCATTACCAGCCAGATATGAAAAACATGGCTATGTTTGGCTAACATGATTAGACTTTGGTTTCAACATGATAAGTCATTGGAATAATATGATTGGAATAACATGAATTTATTGTGATAAGCCTTATTTTTATTAATTTTTATAGAAGTCTTTCTAATGTTTCTCTATATATAATTTCAAATAAGCAAGAAATTTATGGTAACAAAATTTAAATATTTATGGTACAAGTTAAAAAATGAGAAGAAGTTTGATTAGTAAACTAGAAGGTTTGGTAATTGCACTAGAAAATTTTGAAGCGTTGGATGAGACTAAAGAAGTATCTTATTTCAATTGAGCTTTTACTAATCTCTTATGAGGATTATGTTAGGTGAAATTTTTTATTATGATTGTTTTATATAATTTCTCGTCGATTATCCATTATTATTTTTAGTTTTATTTTTTTACATGAGAGCTGATGGCTTCAAATGAGTGCTACAACCCAAATTGGGGATGGAGGGATGTAGAAATTTTTTTATTATGATTGCAGTATAAAATTGTCCTTCATCAAGTTCTACAACTGTTCAAATCAATTTAGACTTCCCCCCACTTTCACTTGCAAATTATTAAAAATTTTTGTTTTTATATGAGAGTGAGCTACAACCAAATTGGGGATAGAGGGATATATAAATTTTTTTTATTATGATTGCAGTAGAAAATTATCCATTCGTACACCTATTCAAATCAATTTAGATTCCCCTTTTCATATCCCCTACCTTCATTCTCTATTTACCTTAATAATTATATAATACAGCCTAGACACACGACAAAGATTTCCAAACATTACTTGTCAAGCCCCTTAATAAAATTTTCACCCCTCATCGCACGTAATGCATTTCTTGATTTTTGGGGAAATCTCATTTCTTGATTTTTGGGGAAATCTCAAGTAATCTCAGGTATTCTTTATTATTAAAGTGTACCCAAACAGTTGGAAATGTCATATTTTCTTGTAATCTATTGTCATGTAATCGATTTCCACTTACTCAAACGGCCCCTTAGTTTAGTGGGCGGTCCGAGGATTCTAACCTCAGACTACCTGGCCACTACCCCTAAAACTTGGGGCATTTCCCTACTAAAGAAAAAAAAATAGAGTTAAAATTCAGTCCCAGGATTCCATCCTTGGACCGACAGGTAATTTTAGAAAAAAAAAATATTGCAGGTTGGCTGACCTTGTTTATAATTTTCAGCTATAAAAGGAGCACATCGTATTTTCCCTATTTATTTAAGGTCTGTATGTAAATTACTCAAGATAAATGTGGACCTTTCCATTAACCGCTTGAAAAAGCCACTAACCATTTCCAAAAAAGAAGAAAAAGGGGAAAATTACAAACGACCCACAAAATGAGACTTTCTAAACAACCTAACTGCAACAAAGTTTCTTTATCAACTTTTACCCAAAATTGAACTTTTTTCGCAAATATCCCATGAGTCAAAAAAGTCATTTTTTTTTACAAAAATGTCCATAGTGCCGGACCGCCCATTTTGTGATGGACCGCATGCCCAAAGCACCAGACCACCACTATTTTGTATCAGATCGCATGCTGTCCAAAAGCCGAAAGTGCTGGACCGCCTCTATTTTGTGCTGGACCGCATGCCCAAAGTGTCGAATCACCCTTATTTTGTGCCGGACCACATGCTATCCAGAAGCAAAGTGTCGGACCGCCCCCATTTTGTGCCGAACCATATGCTTTCGAGAAATGAAATGCCGGATTGCCCCTATTTGTGCTGGACTGTATGCTGTCTAGAGGGTATTTTGATGCACCTTTCTAGAGGGTTTTTTGATTTGCTTGAAAAGTTTAATTTGAGGTAAAAATTAAGTAAAAATGTTTATTGGGGGTAAGTTGCACAGGAAATCTTGGAGTTATTTATAATTTTTCCAAAAAAAAATAAAATAAAATGGGGACCTCATAGTTTTGGTTGTGGGAAACATCGGGCTGATGGCGGCCACACCCGCATAGTAGTAGCAGGGTGCGACCCGGGACTCCCATTAATTGTTTAGCGCCTCACCCTTTTTGTCATAAATATATGTGGCTAGCTCCTCTTCATGTGGGAGCACAGCTGGGCCTTTGAGATGTCAAAAATTTAGGGGAAAGGAAAGGTCCAACAACCAACCCTTCGTTTCTTTAACAGAGAAAATAGCTCAAAATTGCCTCAGAGCTTTGATGGAGGTCACTTCTCATGTCACACGAAACCCTAAAATCGAATGATCTGTACACAGATTGAACCGAATTGGTCGGAAGTGATGGAGAAATCAGAGAAATAGAGTATGCTTTTGGTTAGAATTTTTTAGTTACTGTTTGTCTCTTTTCTTCTTGCTTGAGCTTCGCACCCCTGAAGAAAAGAATGATTCTTAGACATCTTTTTAGCTTAAGATCCCTGAACGAAGAAGAATCCTGATTGATGGGATTTGAGGTGGAATTACCATTGGAGTTTGGATCAGCTCCAGAGGAAGCGGATGCTTCAAAGATGGCTAACTCATGGATTTAGTCTCACAAGGGTTGGATATGGGTCGAGAGGGATTAAGCTTTCCTCTGATGAGTTTACGACAACTATCAGAACATGGAAATTATATTTAGGGACTGAGGAATTAATGGCTTTCGAATTTCAATATGTGTATAGGGAACATCAAGTTGAAAACATTTAAAGTTAAGAAGATGCCTGAAAGAATTTTGTTTCTTTGGACAAATAGATAGATGTAAGGTTCTGTTTGAATAGATGAAGAATGACATTGGTGCTGAGAACATGGAGGTTATGTAGCAGGGTTTCAAAAACAATAACTTTGGGGGGTTTGTATTGTATTTACTAGGGTTTGTATTGCATGTACTAGGGGTAGTAGGGCTTGAGAAATAAATACAACGAGGTTCATGCGGTATGTAATGGGGCTTGAGAAAGAAATGGATGGATGTGGATTTTGAGGTCAGGCTTTTTCTTAGTAACAGAGGCACAAGAACAGTCCATTTACAGAAATGCACGCCAGGCACCGTAGCCCGGGCAGTGGAGCAAGGTCGAATCACATGGGCATTGGCCTGGATAATAATAATTCTTCTTCCATGCGTGGTAACCATGGAGCTTACAATTCAGAATTTCGGGTTTCGAGTAGAGGTGGGTTTGGAAGAGGTCCACCACCCAAAGTTTACCCTCCACCTCGAAAGAGTGATATATTCATGGAGGCTGGCAGGCTTGCAGCTGAATACCTGGTTTACCAGGGTGTATTACCTGCCAATGCGCTTACAGGTGGTAAGTGGCAGAATGGTAGTGGAAAGTCAGATATCCTTGAATTTAGGGTTCAAGACCGAGATAACCCAGACGGCAGAGTGTCTGCCCTTACCAGGCTTGGAAATGTCATGGAGCCTAGATCCCACTTGAGAGGTCGGAGGAGAATAGGTGGTTTTAGGAACTTTGGTTGGGATCGAAGTAGAGAAAATGGCAGTGGTGGGAGGTTAGAGCCTTGTTCGGATAGCAATTGGGATTCAAATGTGGAGGGTGAAGATAGGTGCCGTGCAGATAAAAGGGGTGGTTCTTCAGATAGTGGTGGAATTGTGGTATCTAAATCAGAGGAGAGAAGTTATGATTCTGACTCTGATCTAGAAAATTATGAATTTCCTGATGCCAATAGGGCTTCTAAGGAAAGCTCTGAAAAAGATTTATCGGTCACAGATGCCAATGTGATTAAAGAGGAAGAACAATCATCATACCCGATTGTTACACGGGGAAAAGATGATGTCTCGGAGACTAAACCTTCAATTGATCGGGCGGAGGAAAGAGAAAGCAAGAGTATGCCAATGCTCACTGGTAGTTCTGTTAATACGCATGATGGTCATGAGCTCTTGTCTGAAGATACCACCCCAACGGGTAAGCGGCTGACTCCATCAAGGGAAGAGGGGGATGCTGAAAATAATAAACAAAGTATTCCTCTGAATCATCAGGCCATGGAAGCCAACCTGGTTAGCTTATGCGCCCTAGAGATACTTCCCACTCATACCTTGCCATTAAGGAGTGATGCAAAACCCGATCAAATTCTGTCATCTGTTTGTGACCAGGAAGGTAGGAGCACGAGTGGAGTGGGTGGATTCAAAGAGGATTTCGTCGACAATTCTTCAAGCGATTCATTGACAAATTTGAGGAGTGATGGTCCTACGGAAGTCCCTGAGATTCGGAGAGTTCTATCAAGCAGCACTGTGGAAGACGTTGGGGAATTGGATTTGGCATTGGATTTGCAGAGTGAGAGATTCAAAAGGTCTCATACATTCTCAGATAGGTCTTCTTTCATACATCAACAGGAAAGCAGACATGGCCCACCTGGCTTTGGTGGCACTGAGGGTGAGAGAAGTCCTTATGCTCTCCCCAGATTGCCATTGTATGGAAGATGCAGATCAGTGATTCAAGAGGGAGAAAAGGAAAGTTTCGAACACAGTATTGATACAAGTGTGAGGACCAAGAGGCCTCGTTTATGGAATTCAGATGGGGTTTCAAAGGAGGTTGAGGATTACTGCGAAGTGAATTATTCGAGGGCCAAAGAGACAATTCCACAGGCTAAGGTGACTCTATCTCTTGATGAAGAACTGATTGAAGCGGTTGAGCAAGAGAAATTCATGGATCTTAATTTAATACCCGAAGATGAGCTTGAAGATGATAAAGCTACATTGGGTTCTATGATATCAACTAGTGATATTGAGTATGGGGATGGTATTGAACAACTTATGATGAATGAAAGGAACATCCTTGAAGCTTCTGAGAAAGCGCAAACCTCTGATGATATGATCCTAGATCATCATGTATCTACTCACTGCTCCACACTAGAAGCCGAACAAGAAGCATCCATGTGTATAGGCTTGTTAATAAGGAATATCTGCAATGGTGTTCAGTACAAAGCCAATGGTGCACTTTGCATTAATGATATTGATGAACCTATAAAGATTGACAGAGAGGACTTTCCCGCAGATGATAATGGAAAGGGTTCCCTGATTGAGTATGAAGTATTTCATACTGCTTTGCAAGATCTCTTTGACAGGTTCCCAGTCCTGCTAAATCTTTATCAATCCAAGGATATCACAACTGAACTCAGCTGCCTTGTGTGCCTTGGCTTAAAGCGAAAGTGAGTATCTACGTTTCTTACACGATATGGCTTCCCTTTCCTCTGTTTACTTTGCATATTGCTTGATTTTGGCGTTAATTTCGGAGATCTTTGTTTCTTTCTTGTGCATATTACACATTAAAAATTTCATTTGGGATCAACTTATGTGAATATTATGATGGCAGTCATTTTGGAAGCTTATGTGAAATCTTCTCTATGTAGAATGGTCTTTGTGCTCTGTCATGATAGTGGACTCATTGCACTGCATTGCATTTGCTCATCTTCTCATGATTCCTTACTAATTACAGTGAGAGTTTTGTCCATACAGGATTGGAATTGTGTATTCAGGTTTGGGAAGCCTTTTAAATCATGCACATGAGGCTAATGATCTTCCCAAAATTCATAGATGTTACGGTCGTGCGATTTGTAATTTGCTTGGTATCCATATGCCAAATTTCTCAAAGAAAGCTAACAGCAGTGATCTACAGAACGAGATTTTCTGTGAGAATGTAGAGGTAATTCCTTGGCAGTAGTATGTTCTAGTTGGGAAAAAATCATTAAAGCGCTCAAATTATCTTTCACTATCTATATAGCACTCAAAAGATCCTATTTACCACTGCAAGGTTTACTTTCTAAGTTTCATTTTAACAAAAGGTATCTACTTAAAAAAAGAAGTTAAAAAAATCCAAAATTACCCCTGCTCAAGCTGGCAAACCTGTACAACCAAGAGTATTCGAGCTAAATTACAAAATACTGCTGGTTGTTTAGGTTTTTTTTTGTTAAACTTGCTGGTTGTTTAGGGTTGAGAACGAGGAACTAGAAATGACAGAAATACCTTGGTTTTGTATTGCTAACCCTAAACAACCAGGGTCCCTGAACAGGGGTAATTGGGGAATGTTTGAACTGTTTTTTTGTGGGGTTACCTCTATGAAATGAAAACTAAAATGTAAATATGCGATTATAAATGGTATCTCTTGAGTCCTTAATTGATTTTGTAAGATAATTTGAGCCCTCTAATTGACATTTCCCTTTCTAATGACCTAATTTAAGCCCTCTAATTGACATTCCCCTTTCTAAGGACCTAATTTAAGCCCTCTAATTGACATTTCCCTTTCTAATGACCTAATTTAAGCCTCTAATGACATTACCCTCTCAAACTGTGTTAGGACTGGCTTTTTTAATCTCATGCCTCACCAATCTTCTTACAGTATTTGTGTTACAATGTGAAGAATGCTATTGTCAATTTTGTCATTTTTTTTGTAGTTCAACATTTGCAGCTGTTTTATGACCATTCAATTTTTTCTTCTTTTCTTCCAGGGGGATCCGGGTGATGCTGATCCAATTTATCTGTCTTTGGAAGACATACCAATAAGCATGCCTATTATATGATCAAGTGGTATTCTCCTGTTTTCTCCCTTTATAATGGTTCAATTCATAGCTTGATTTGGCATGGGACATCAGTCAACATCACATGTTTGGAGCCATTTAGAATGTGAATAATGTGAAAGGGTTCTTCAGAATGGCAGAAATATAACATTTGTGATCTTAAAAGGTTCTACTCCATGGGTTTTCAATGTTCTTTTCCTTATGATTTACTTTCTTCCAGATTGCGTATCTTCCTAGTCTTTTGTTAGTGTCTAGCAATGATATCTATTGATATGCAGGTTCCAAAAAGTAGAAATGATAGCAAATACAATGAGTTATGATGGATGCGTGACTTACAATTTGCAAATATATTGAAGGAAAGATATTCCAATGGTTTATTCTGATCTAATGCTCCTTGTTCTAGCTGGGCAATTAGCATGGAACTTTTATCCCATAATCACATATTACGAAAGAAGATATGTCCATAGAACTATACTTCTGCAATCTTCCATAGCTGTAGTTTCTGTTGCAGTTCCCACGTAACTACACGTCCACCCCCACCCTCTGCTATAAGAGGCCAGGTGCACAGTGCCATGTGTACCCTCGTCAGGGATGCTCTTCATATCTCGTCAATGACATCTCGGACACCCGCAGACCCTGTTGGGGCGTTGGAACTGAGTCTTTTACTTCAGATAGTACTAGGTCTCTGGGAGCTGGCTTCAATATCCTTTAAGGGTGCTGGCACCAATTCTCTTTGGATGAAGGTTCTGTTTTCTCAAAGCAACTATCCTTTTTTGATGCCCCCTAACTCTTTCCTAATCTGCTCATCTGAATTGATGGATTCTTCAATTCCCATGTTTCTTGTTGCTCTGCTGTTGTAACTTTGAAAATCACAAGCGAAGAGTATCTTCCAACAGTCGGTGCCGATCGAATGGCCCTTGTTCGAGCTGGGCAATTAGCATGGAATTTTCATCCTATAATTACAGTTGCCGCTCCTGCCTAACTACATGTCCAGCAATCAACTTCTGCTATAAGGGTCCAGGTGCATTCTGAGTTTGTGACCATCTGTATTCTTGTCAGCGATGCTCTTGATCTTGTGTCAGCGACATCTCAGACACCTGCAGACCCACGTGGGGCATTAGTGTTCAGCCTTTTACCTCGGATTGTCCTAGGTTTCCTTGGGAACTGGCTTCAATATCCTTTTAAGGGTGCTTGTACTAATGCTCATGTTGAAGATTCTAGTTTCTCAAAACAATTATCCTCTTTGGATGCCCCCTCACTCTTCCCTTGTCTGCTCATGTGAAACAAGGGATTCTTCACTTCCCGGTTCTCGTTGCTGTGCTAATACTGTGAAAATCACGAGCAAAGAATCTTATATAGAGTATTTTCCAAATGGTTGTTGCTGATCTATGCTAATACCCCTTGTTCTAGCTGGGCAGTTTGCATGGCACTTGCATCCCATAATCACACAGTACCAAATAAGATATGTCCATAGGCCTATAGTATACTTCTGCAATCCTCCATAGCTGTAGTTTCTGTCGCTTCTCCCGCCTCTCTGCACGTTTAGCAATCACCTTCTGCTATAAGAGACCAGGTGCATAGTAACCATGTGTATCCTTGGGCATCTCGCGTCAATGACATCTCAGACACCAACAGACCCAAATGGGGCGTCAGAACTTAGAACCGAGCGTTTTCCCTCGGATAGTCCTAGGTCTCCTTGGGAAATGCCTTCAATATCCTTTAAGGGTGCTTGCACGAATGCTCTTTGGTTGAAGGTTCTATTTTCTCAAAACAACTATCCTCTTTTGATGCCTTCTAACTCTTCCATAATCTTCTCATTTGAAATGACGGATTCATCAATTCCCATGTTTCTTGTTGCTCTGCTGTTGAAATACTTTGACAATCAATAGTGAAGAATCTTTTTATATCTCTATCTACAGACGCACAAGGTAATGGTAAATGCCTTGCACAATTCTTAGCGGTGAAAATAGATGAAAAATTTTGTTTTAATATTTCATTTAAATGAAATTAATATAGATTTCATATATTTTCTTTAACTTCCATGTCATTCATAGTTTATTTAATTTCTAATTTTCTATATAATTTATTTATGAAATTTACGTAAATATCCTATTTGTTTTTTGGAATTAAACCCTGAATTAATTTTTTTATTTTTTGGTGAGGTCATTTTATTTGTCAGATTCCACACCACCCCCACCCCCACCCCCCGTCCAAAAAAAAAACAAAAGAAAATCTCTTCTGCGAAATCCTCCATGTTTGGCACTTCTTTAGTAACCACCACTTTTTTTTTAAGCTTAAATCCGGGTTCTCGTTCTTGCTAGAAGTTACTTTGGCACTTCAAGTGCCAAGTGGCTAACTTCCTTTAGGCAAAAAGACTCTTCAAGCACCGAACGAGGCCTATCAAAAATGAAAACCGAGAATGTGAGTTAAACACACACAAAAAAAAAAAACAGTTTGCCAGTTGATATGCTAAGCCGAAGATATTTCAAGTGATTTTTATTAGGCCTTGGCCTGATGTAAATACTTCCTCAATTAAATATGAGAGAGAAGTTTCGGACCAGATGATATATAAGACATCTCATTAATTTGCAATGGGGATACTATGTGGAAATGAAACGTGGGTGTTGGCCAATATCCTTTTTCAATTTTAAGATAAAGTATATGATCAATTGAAATAATATGAAACAAATATGCTTAACCTTAAAGTGGTCAGGTAATGGAGGAGCACAAACACATAAAGTGGGCCTTGTGTACCATTTCTTGATGTTTCAGGCAAAATCCACAAAATGTTTAAGTTGATTCAACACTTTTAAGTGCGGCACCGACTTGTGGCAAAAAATAGAAGTCGGTTCGGTACTTGAAGTGCTGAATTGGCTTCAGGTTCGACACCTAAATTGCTAGATAGACTTGTAGGAAAAAAGAGAACCCAAGAACATGATTTAAACTAAAAAGAAGTGGTTCGGCACTTGAAGTGCCAGATGAGGGGTACTTGGGGGGAAAATATCTAATGTAAAAAAGGGAACTTAACGTAAAATATAAAAACTTTGGAGTATTTTTAATTCTTAAAATGTATAGAATATTTAAGAAAATTTCCTATTTATTTTATTTCTTAAGTTCCAATATATTCTAATTTTTTATGACATAGACTATTTTGTAGGACATGAATTCCTAGTTAGATAGGAAAACCTATTTTAACTTCATAGACTTCCATGTAGTCTTTTCAATAATATGAAATGTGCTTCTATAGAAAAATAAATTATTATTTTGGATATGCTAAAAATCTTCTAATTCTTTAGATCCTACTTTTTCTTTTCTGTAGTTTATTAATTTTATTTTGGGATCTGGGATTGATTGTGTTTAGAGAGGAAAAAGAGAGATTTTAGGAAATTTGCAAAGGAAGAGAGGGATGAGGAATTTAAAAGTTACATGCACATGCGCACATTTGTGTATGTATGTTTGTAGGGTGACATTATCCGAAGGCATACACTTTACAATAAAATGTAGAGTCAACCCTCAAAATTCTGCTGGAAAAAGCAATTCTAGCATTGAAAGTCCTGAAGATAGCCTAAAAATCATATCTGCCCTCGATTATGAAACTTGAAGCTCCATAAATGGTACATCTGTGCCCCTTGTTATGAACGCACTTGAAAATGGACAGTCCAGATAACGTGTTACAAGATACACTATTTGCAAGGCTTGAAATCTATTTTTTAAATTTCTTAGATATATAGTTATCAAGGCTGAGATGATCACTGTGATGCTTTTACTATGATGGAGGAAAAGTTTTTGGTGAGATTTGAGCCATGGCTTTAAACATCCACGGTTCTAAGATACAAATTCTGTGAGCTGCCCCATCAATAGAACAGTGCAAGCGAGACGTCCTAGATTGAAGGCGAGCAAGCGATCTAGACAACCTACATTCACCAAAAATGGCAGGCACGTTTTGGTCCACAGTTTTTTCGATATCTTTTTTTATTTCTTTTTATGTTTGGACTACGTAGGTATGGCATGCTTGTGTGCAAATTTTGGGTTCCATTGACAACTACTCTCTTTAGGAATATTTTTTTTTGACACTTAATGCTTTTCTTTCATTTATGTGAGCTTCAATCTAGGCCGCCAGATTTCTTCTGTTTATAAAGAGAAAAAGGGTATTTATGTCATTTTTCATGATTTCATTTTTGGCTTGAACTTTTTGTATTCATTTTTGGTTCCACAGTCATCCATGTTGGGCGGTCAAGAAACAACATATCCATAGGATGAGTGTAGCTGAGATGGATGAGTAGCAAGACAAGAAGGGATAAAATTTGAAATGCATTTGAGAGAACTTAGGTGTGGCTCTAATCGGTGATAAGATGAAAGAAAGTAAACTTAGGTGGATTGGTCATGTGCAGCAGCAACTTAGTACAAGCGAGTTGGTTGAAGTAGAAGGCTCGAAAAGGGCAAGGGGTAGGCCGTGTTGGAAGTAGTGAAAAGTATGAGGACTTATGGCCTCACTGAGGGTATGGCGCTTGATAGAGAAGAATAGCAGATTAGGATTCGTATAGCCGACCCCAAATAGTTGGTTAAAAGCTCTGATGATGATGATGACTCATCCATCTGCTTACTTTCTCTATAAAACTCTCTCCCTCTCTCTCTAGAACACAAATCCTAACTCTCTTCATAAAACTCTCTCACCCCCTCTCTCTCTAAACACACTCTCTCCCTCTCTCTAAAACACTTCCCCCTCTCTAAAACTATCTTTGCCCATCTTCTCAGTTTCTTTCTCTACCTTCGTCTCTGTTGTCTTCTTCATCCACCGATCTCCTCTCTCTCTCTCTCTCTTTGTAGCAAAAAGAGATGCAAACAACCCAACAACAGTAGCTGGACCAAAGAGTTGCTGCTCGTTTGGCCCTGTTTATGATGCTGCAAATTAAGGTCCCTTAGAAAACCCCTGTTACAGATCTCTCACGCATCTCGATTTGTAGCCCCCAACCCCTCTCTTCCCCCTATCCTTCCTCACCTTTGCCATATCTCTGGAATGGCCCAAATTGGTGTCCAAATTGGTCCTCTCCATACCTGTTCTTTCATCTGTGAAAACCATTTGCTTTTCCAATTGTTATGGGTCTATTAACATCGACAAATGCAACTTACATGGAATGATTATAATCTCAAGGCATCATTGTTCTT